TCTAAACTCCGAATGCTTCTTTCTGCTTGAAAGTGAACAGCAAAACTTTGGCATTTACTTGCTGTCTCTCCTTAGTAAAAAGAAAAATGATATTTTAGAGCTCCTTCTAATCCCTATGATTCATATGTCAGACTCCCTACATTCATCATTTCAAGCAAGTTTTTTTATCCATTTCCAGGCCTAATGGTGAACCACATTCCAGGCAAATTGCCTTCTTTTTATTCCTAATGCTCTAATCAATGTTAGTAAAGAATGCACATGACAACCTTCATGCAGTTATTATTGTTGACTGGCAAGATGTCTATATAAACTATCTTCTTCACTCCTCCAAAACATTTTAAAACTATGGAGACAACAACAGAAAGCCCTTCTTTTGTTCATCAAAATGCATAATCACATAGAAAAAGCAAACTCTCCTGCCTATTTTTTTCCTTGGAGCCTTTAAAGTTTCAAATCAAAGCCACAATATATATCTGATGAATATCATTATTATGACTACGCTGCAGGCATACAGGGGATCCTGCATTGCTGCAGCCATCAACCACTGTTTTAAACACGTGCCTTCTGAAAACAGAGTGCCCATGACAGTGGTCATCAGCATTAATCATAGAAAGTGACTTAAATCCATAGACAGGGATAACTAAAATTTTGGCATTAAACAGTCAAATTTCCCAAGAACCACATACGAAACTACTTCAGTGTCATCTTCAAGCTCAGCTTTAGATGCCCAGACGTATAACTACGCTTAAAACTACTGAGAAAACTGACTCAATCCCTCCTTCAAGAAACTTCCAGTTCACCTGACATATAATCAGTTCAGCTCAGAGATAGTTCAGGCTCTGCTAGAGCCTGTACACTTTTAGTACAATGCAATTTTTAAAACACAAACTCTGGTGTGATTTTCACGCTCAAGATTATAACGTGAATGGGCATAAGCAGACTATATTGTTCATAATAAAAATAGATTATTCCATTCCATAAGACAGGAAGCTATTCCTCAAACAATGATGGTTTACACCATAGCATTGCTTATATGCTTAAGCAGTGAAGACTAAAGCAATACTACAATTTCCAGCAGAATTTCCATTAACAGTGACCAGTGTAGGATCTAAAATATAATCTAGCAAATCTGGTTTCAGCCATTAGTGTACTAGGGTACATAGGTATATTAGTCTGTTTTCTGTAAAGCTATCCATGCAAATTCATCTGTTTGTTGCATCCAGCCTGAGCCTGCTTGCAAGTAAGATAGTGGATGACTCAGCTTGAGGTGAACCATCACTACAAAGACCATCTGCTACAGCACATTGTACGTTATCTCTGTTCAAAGACCTAATTGTACTTCCCCTCACAAGCACTAGCTGGATGAGGTAATTCAGTGAGACTCTTTAAAGGCTAGGGTCTTTTACAAAAAAGAGTTTTGGCTGAAATTGTAATAGGCATACAATATACTGCTACAATGGCCCCAGAAGGCAGTGAGCTAGTGTCAGGATGAGTCAGTATAGAATTATGCTGAAAAAGCCACGTGTAGTAGTTATTTGACTCAAATGAAGAAAAAAAAAAAAAAAGCTGGGCATGGAGACTGTAAATATCTGTTCTGCAACAGTGAACGATGCAGATCTTGGTGTAAAATAAGCTTTGAGTGCAATGAAACCATTAGCTCATCAGACCCAACAAGCTACAGTACAGAATAATTCTGGGGTGTTTGATATTTATTCTTGCTTGTCACAACATACTAAAATACATCACAGATGTTCACTGATGAGCGCAACAGGTTGCAGGTCTGCAGGCAGCACAAGTAAAAGTCAGAGTAGCCAGCTCCCAGTGCTGTACTTCCACTGATTCTTTTATGCTGAATCCCATTTGGAGTTAGACAAGGACGCATTTTTCCTTCTCCAATAATTGTTCATTTCTGTGTATAATAAGCCCCATCATTTCTGTTCAAGACTTTGTAATATACTAAGTTATTAACCATAGTTATTTGCATAAAAAGAGGTATCATTTTATATAGAGTTCTTTATTGAAAGAACTCAAATAAGTATCATTAACATCATTAATGCTAAACAGCTAGGAAAAGTCTCTCAGCACTAAGGAAAGAGGTATAGAACCAGGATAGGTGCTAGTGGCTTTGTTTTTACCCCCTTGTTTTCAGAGATTTTTATCTTGGCGTATACGATATATTGGAGCTCAGTCAAGGATTGGGTTTTTTTCACAATCCATTTCACCTCCTGCTTGTAGGTGACTGGAATGCTATTATCCAAATTAGTCTGCAATTCACCATCTCTAGTGAATTAACACCACAGATAAATTTGCTGCATAAAGTCAATCTGATACACTCCTAAATGTGGATACAAATATGAATGGTAATTACCACACATCTACAGGTTTGTATTCTTTTTCATCAAATAGCTTGCAAACTCATTTTGAGCATATTTTAATCAGGTAAAGACAACTAAATTATTTACTTTTGAAAGATTTCAAGAAAGAAATCGAACAAAAATGGTGTGTTTGAATTCAAGCAGCTCGCTCACAAAAACCAATGTACAAATATAAACATCAAGCAACTTATTTGCTCTCTATCAATATATGAAACATAAAGCAATATAAGTCATTCTTTCAAAATTTCACAAGGTGAAATAATCTTTAACTTAGCATTATTTTTCTTTGTGTTTTTCTGAAGCACAATAATGTGTACAGCCTATAGCGAATTGTCTGTATTGAAATGTTTCTCTGTGTGGATATTTTACTTGTAAAAACATTTAAGGAATGACTCAGTAAAAGAGATAATATAATTACATCGTCCTATTTATTACAATCACAACATTATATTAAAAGGTTAAATTCAGATACCATTCCCCAGGCTGATTTGGCTAATGTAGTCATCCTTAAGTAGATATGGTCAGTAATTGTGCATTAAAAAGTGACTGCACTTTCAACTGGTTTTTCACTTGCTGTTTTTAGAAGCAATACTATGAAATAAAAATAAACAAAAATAAAAATACCTCTCACTTTTATAACAACATAATTAAAATGCTAGCCCATAAGACCCTATTCCTACAATTTATGGACATCCTTAATTTTTACAAGTTGTTTAAAGGACTCTTACAGGTCTTTTCTAAGTTCTTGCAGGAACATGACTTAACTGTGGTAGACCTACCCATTTTGCTTCTCCCCACAAACAAACAATTGCAAAGTTCCAGTTTTTATGCGACATAATCCTGGACAGATGGCTGGGTATAATACATGGGTTTGTGCATAGACACACAGAAATATATATATATGAGCATATAGACATATATATGTATTTTTTAACTGGAGAGCATCTGCTCTTAATTTGATCATTTTCATGTGAATGCTTTTGTGGGTAATAACGCTGCTATAAGCTGTTACTATATACATTTTCATGATTATCATCATGATCCTTAGACAACAATACACCCATGTTTCCTAGCAATCAATAGGTTTGAGTTCAAGCTGAGATTCATTTGCTACATATACACAAACTCCTAGCCCATTAAAGGAAACCCGCTACTCTCAACGCGAAGGTTTGAAGAGTTCAGATTCCATCCAGGATAGAGAACTGACAGGAAAGTTGATTGATTAATTGAACTAAAATGACAGTTGTGCTGTTCTGGTGGGTTTTTTAGTCATGTGTAGCAAAAATTACTGCCCTGGTATTTGAGGGAGAAAATCTGCAAAAGGAGAAAATGAATTCTCCTATGCTTTTTCTTCCCCCCCTGCAGTTGATAAAGTTAATGCCTCAATACAAAAGTTGTTGTATCAGTGACTGCTATGTACTACTGTATATATATTATAACAGAACCTTAAAAAGCATGATGTCTATCTATGCCAGTAAAAAAACCCATTTTGGTAAATAATATCTCCTGCTATACAATAACCATAGTCTGTCTAATTTGAAATCCATAGCACACAAGGTAAGGCAGAGAATGACAATTAATATGGATCATTTAATAAGATGCCATGCTGTACTAACTTATGGGAAATAAAGGTCCATTATTCAGAAGCTAGTTTTTGTACAAGTAGTTTCTAAAATCACGAAGACATTTTGTTCACTCTTAAGACTCTTTCCTTCTTTGTGCCAGAATTATTCACTAGCAAAAACATTCCAAAGGTTGAAAATTAAAGTATAGAATTCTTCTTGCTGTTCTAGACAGTACAAACTTCTCTAAATACTTTCTATGTAAGGATTACCTTTTCCATTAGAAAAATTGCAACTGTTACCAGAGTATGGAAA